TAAACAATATCAGATATGCTGATGTTACTGTCTTAATAGCAAGCAACGGTCAAGAACTACAAAATATAATAAATGCGGTAGTTCATCACAGCGAAATGTTCGGTTTACATCTAAACGTTTCCAAAACTAAAACTTTAGTATTTTCAAAGACACCAATAAACGTACATGTGTATGCCAAGGGTCAAATGATAGAACAGGTAAATTCCATAAAATATTTGGGAGCAAATATCAATAGTCAGTGTAATCCAAAAAAAGAAATACTATCAAGAATCGAACAAGCAAGGAAAACATTCATGAGCATGAAAACATTTTTTACAAGATCAGACCTTAATCTGCAGCTTAGAATCCGAATGATCAGATGTTACGTTTTTTTCTGTCTTACTGTATGGCTGTGACAGTTGGACAATGGACTCTGAAATAGAAAAAAGAATAGACGCCTTTGAGATGTATATATACAGACGAATGTTGAGAATTCTATGGGTACAAAGAGTTACTAATATTGAGGTACTTCATCGAATGTGTGAACAAAAAGAATTACTAAGGATAATCAAAGAGTGGAAAATGCAATACTTGGGTTATGTGTTGACAGGCGAAAAATATCAATTACTTCAAGTTGTACTGGAAGGAAAAGTACAGGGAAAAGATCAGTAGGAAGACGCCAGAACTCATTGGCTGAAAGACCTGGGGAGATGGTTCGACCGCTCATCCGCAGAAATCTTTCGCGCAGCCAGTTTCCAAAACTACAATTGACATTTGGATCGCCAACCTTCGAAAGGAGATGGCGCCATGAGAAGAAGAATCTGTCTGTGAGTATCTATGAAGGCAGATTTTTAATTTGATAAGGAAGACAAATTGAAGCTTGTTCTATTTAATTGTAGGTATGCAGTAGCTCTTAAACCACTTCAATAAAATCACCAAGCACCTCAACATAATAATTTACAATAATCAAACATAATAAATACAACATTTTTAACTCCCATATATTGATATTCCAGAAGAAAGATTCAGTGTTATCCAGTCTTAGGTTTCTACCGAAACATTTAGGAGTCGAATATCACTGTGAAACGAGCGCCGGCGACTGGGTTATCACTAAAGGTTTTTTCTACCATTTACCATCTGTCTGTAAGTAGCTATGAGAGTAGATTTTTAATTTGATTAATTTAATTTAATTTTTAATTTGAAATCACGCAAAAGACGAATATAAAATTCCCTAGATACCATATTTACAAGAATGACTACAGAGCAAATTTAGGAGGACTAGCCATCCTAGTTAAAAGAGGAATGTAAACCATAGTATCCAACAAACACCAGCACTACAACAATTACCTATGATTTTGTTTTAAATACCTACAAAATAAGTTCTTGCTTTTTCAGGGAATGCAGAAGTTAATGATGCTTCATGTGATCTTGTTGTGATTAAAAACGTTGCTAGTGAACCACAATCCATTTTAACTAGTTCTTCTTGTTGCTGCTTCTTTTTTATCTACTCGGCACCAGAAAGATTTTTACGATTATCAGACATCTATGAAAAAAAAATCTTAACTTATGATGACTACAATAAATCTTTTTGACGATTTAAAAGAAGTATGAAGCAGGATTTCTGTCAAAAAAGCCAATTTTTGCAAAGACATGTTCATAAACGTGTTTACGATTCCACCATTCATTTGTTGACTTAACAACTTTAAATAACTTTTAAAAATGCTAAACTTCAATTTACTATCCCACTAAATAAAAATATATAAAGATGTTTTAGTATTACTATTATCATTTAAATTATGAATTCATTACCACAGTGTAGGAAGTTAGAAAGTATATCAATTCTATTTAATTGCTCAAAAGCAAAGTAGAATCAAATTAATGTTAATACTTACCTTTAATTTTTTGTCTCTGAACCACTATACAATAGGTAAAAAATGTTTTCAAGTTTGCTAAAATTATACTGTTACACATTACATACATCACGTTCAAGATTTAAATGGCACAAATTATCCCGCAGCATGCAGTCACATTCTTTGTTGTTGTTAACAACAAGGTCGTTACAGTAAAATGGAAAATAAACTAGGAAGGAATACTGAAAGCCAGAAAAACAAATACGAACGCTTAACCAAACAAAAGGAGATAGAATCAAAACAAAACACAGAAAGGACAGTAGTCAACTTTTCCGATAAGGTTTTAACTCCAGCCAAAACATCATTGTTATCCAAAGTATGAAATTTTGCGATTGCACCTAAAGTTATACTCAAAGAAGATATCATCGCTAATATCGAGTCTGTAATTCGTAGCTTACCAATACAAAAGCTGAAGAAATAAGGACAGAATCAGCGAGAATTTTGCATAAAGCTAAGACACTGAAAAATAAACTGAGTCACTAATAAATCCATGCCATAAAATCGTTAAAGACAGACAAAGATGTTGTAATTTTACCAACAGACAAGTGAAATGCCACCGTCGTAATGAAGACAACCGACTACAAAACGAAAATACAAAATCTTCTAGATCCTGCGGTATATAAGAAAAGTAAAAAAGATACTACAGCAGTCAACCCTACGGAAAATCAATAGACTTATAAAATCTTCGTTCATACCAGAGGATACAAAGCCAAGAATATGCAACAGCAAAGCAGTCTCACCACGCTTGTATGGCTTACCACTAATACACAATAGTCGATGTACCTCTACGCCCTATTGTAAGCTCCATAGGGTGTTCATTTTGGGTTGTTATTAGGGTGTATCCCAGAAGAATGGCGTTTAGTTCTAAAAGTAGAAAATTATTTTAATTTGAAAAAAAAAATAATATGGGTCCATTGACATTTGTTTTCGACCCCAAAAATCGTTTGATTTTTGGGGTCGATATGTCGAAAAATCGTAATTTAAAAATGAAAATCGACCTGTTTCAGGATTTTTCCTTAAAGTTACTGGCTCATGAAATAACGAATTTATTCCAAACATTTTGCACCATACCGTCTTTTGCGCCATTGTTTTTTAATTACCTTTGTTTGGTACACTTTTCTATACAAATTAAAAGCGCAATACAAATTAATTGCGGCGGCTGCTACAGTCTCCACATCCAGATCCATAATCAGAGTTTACTCTACTCACTGAAAGGTTAATGCAGACTGATCAACTCCACCAACGTGTAATCGCTGTTCTTACTTGGCCCAACTAATTGGCCGAGTAGTTGGCCCAACGTGTACTGGAGCTATTACAAAAAATAAAAGGCAAGGAACTGTCTGACATTAGTTTAACAAGTTTGTGGAAAGTGCTGAAACATTTAGGTTTTCGATATAAAAAGACAAATAATAGACAAGAATTGTGTGAACATACATGAACAATAAAACGAGGCAAGTTGTATTTTTAGATGATTTTCGCTAAACTAAATATGTCAAAATCATCCTGGCAAGATGGCACCACGAAATGTCATTCAGTCTGTCGTTCAGGTAATGGTAAACGTCTACATTATACTTCATGCTGAAAATAATGAGGGTTTTATTTCTGACGCTAGTTTAATTTTTTCGTCTATAAACAATACAGGTGATTACCATGGAAATATGGATACAAATAGTTTTAAAGAATGGTTTAAAGAAAATTCAAAAGAAATTTTTTACTGGCCAAATGGCTCTTAAATATGACCCCGAAGTTCTTTAACTTCGCCCTACCATTGCCACTATAATGCAATTGAGTTGGTTTGGGGTATATCCAAAAAATTTTATGATAAACAACAGATGACGCTAGCGTTCTTAGTTTATGGAAAGAATCGCTAAAACAAATAAAGGCAGAACAATAGCAAAATTGTATTAGACATACGGAAGACATAATTGTTCAGTCTTTTCAAACCGAGCGAGTTATAGATGAGGTCCGGCCTCTAATTATTCGGATAGACGATTCAGATAGTGACGACTCTGATAGTGAAATATTAGACAGTGAATAGGACAAATCGTTTGCTAAAAAGAAGTAACAAAAAAGTGTTTCGGGAATTCAATTCGGACTTTGTGGTGTGTTTTAGTTAAACGATAAAGTACCTTCGGTCTAATTACTGGACTGCATACTCTCAATAGCTTTGGTATTAATTACTGGACTACACGTGTTTAAACATTTTGTTTTGCTGAAAACTCGGAAGTGATTTAGTGCCAATTTGTTTCAAGGTTATATTTAATACAGTGTCTGCAGAAAGTAAAGTCTTGGATGTATTTTATTCAAATTTGGACATACCAGCAACTTAGCAAGTATTTTCCAATTTAACTCCATGCAAAACCATTCGTATAATTTTCACTCTACGTAAAATAAAGACTTATAGAGACCTTGATGAACATTTGAAGTTCATGAAGGTCTCTTTATATAAAATCCAATATTATTACTGATCATAAAATACAGGAAATTAAATATTTTTACTTTTCAAGCGATCGGAATTAAATATTAACGCCGCACTGTTTGAGGCCTACTGATCATATCTTAATTACACATCGGCCGTCATAGGGTAAAAGGATTATATATAAAAACTGAAATTTAAATATACAATTAAAATTTATTTTCTTATATTTATGTCTTTAAACTGACCCCACAACCCTGGCTCAGAACAGCCTTGAAGAAGACCATAATCTAAACGTGATGTGCAGAAAACCTAAAAAAAATCTTGAGGTGAATGACTATAGCAAGAAACAAAGAAGAATGGAAGAAATTAAGCGAAACTTATGCCGAATGTTGGGCGAATCTGTTCAAAATATGGAGCAACAGTATATATCCGGAAACAGTATTATCATTATACTGTATTTCAATATAACTTGTGTTAATCCGCTATCAGATTATTTCAGAGAAATATTTAACAAACGCATATATCTGTAATTACAGGCATTTATTGTAATTTACATACTAAGATTGACTACAATAATTTACTTGTTTATTATAACAACAAAGGTAATTATCGGGAAATACCGCATTCAGAAGTACATTCTATCTATAAATAACTAACCGAAGGTATTTAAAAGGTATTCTTTTTCATTTTCAACTTTAAGTCGTGTTTTACAATTAAAATGAAACAATTGGTAGCTATCACTGTATTATCTTTATGCATATGTTTGTGTATAGCACAACAATGCCCTTCATGCGATCCATCAGGATGTGCAATTCCTAGCTGTAGTTCAGAGTCAGTATTAAAAAAGAAACATCCCTGTGATTGTTGTCTAAGCTGCTACACCGAAAAACGTAAGTATAATATGATTTCTATCGTAATCTGTTACTATATTTATCGATTTTATTTATTATTTTTTACATTTTTTCAAGACAGCGGTGATCGTACACACACGTTTTTTCTATATGAGGTGTTTGAGATTCAACTTTGAGTTGATGGTCAATATAAGCAATATAGAAGCATTTTTGGTAATTAAACCAGCATAAATATGTTTTTTCCAATTTCATTGGATTACAACAAAGTTGTTTGATAATGTACATTTTGTTTGGTTCTTCGCTTGATCTAAACATTGCATTACTGTTTTTATCATTTTTTCCTCCGCTTGTACTATCACCCATGCTTAAGGCTGTTTTATCAGTGCACCAAAACCTAGGAACTGTTATTTACCGACAAAATGTCTAGTTATTTGGACACAATATTCGAAACTATGTTGAGTTTAAAATTATGGTTTTACTTTTTTTATTTTTTTGTTACTTCTGTTGAAAAATTGGATTATACTGTTTAACGTTCTATTATAACCAAACTTTTTACGCCCATCGCTTGAAAGAGTTTTTTTTTCTGTAATCGTTGATTTTTTTCACCTTTCTGTGTCCAGTAATAATCGAGAAAAGCGTGTTCAAACTTTGAAGAAAATTGCTAAAAAATACTAAAATCTAATAGTGATACTCATCATTGTCGCTCAGGTTCACCGTTATCGCCTTCGTGACTTCAAATCTCATGAGCGTACGGTCAGTTAGTTCGTGTTAAAACTAATTTGAATGGAGAGTAATGCATTTGTTGTCCGTTGACCGACGCCACTGAGTAAAGATAGTCTCGCGTAAGCAGTGTAGAAATGTAAGTGATACGCCCATTTCAAATCGCAGTGTGCTTGAACTGCTAAAACAGCCTTAACTCCAAAAATACTATTGATTATCTCATAGCCTAGTATATAATACTTTAGCCTTCCCTGATACCTGTTTAAATCCTCATTAGATTTTTTTAACAGTTCCGCCTTACTATGATTTCTTTGCAATTCTCTTGATAACCGAAACCAGGTATGTGGCACTATCTGCTTACTTTATTTTCAACGTTCTACCATCTTCCTATTCGAGGTATTACTGATTTTTATTCATTTTCACGGTACTCCCACTGTATATATACAATTACATGCTGCGATTCTTTGCTGTTCATCCTCAAGCTAACTTTTTTTGCAGCTCCTATCAATCTCCGGAATTTCTCCTTTAGTTCGATTGGCGCTGAAGTGAACAGTATAACGGCCTATGTTACTTAAAGTAACATAGACCCTTCGGAAATTAATAAATTTAGTATAATTTAATATTATATGATTTCGTTTATTTTCGTTTATTAAAAATTAATGGATGAAAATAATTTCTATCCTTGTGCAGATCGGTACTCACCGGAGGGGCCGCAGACGTTCGGATACAATTAGCGTTTCTTAGCAAAGACAATGAGTGGAATGCATAAAACGTAGTATCTGCTAATGCTTCAAGTAATTCTACATTTTTGTAGTACTTGCTACACTTACAAAGCATTTTGCTTTCCTCCGTAGTATTTACTACTATTTACCAGATACATAGAAGGATGTACTACGCTTTTGAAGTATTTGCTAGTTTAGTAGAATTTGCTTCAGTTTAGGTGAAGTTGGTAGATAAACAACTTCGGCTTAGGTGTTTTTTGTTATGTTTGTTAAATGGCAGCATTTATGAATGTTCGTCGTAGAAAAATCTACAAACCAGGAAGAATATACAATGACGATATTTATCGTAAAATATTCAGGTAATTATCATGAATCGTGCAGTTTTATTCATACAGTGCGCTGAAATAAGTGTAACCCCCCATATTAACTCATTTATTTTTAGTATATAAGCAAAACACTCGAAGAGGTCGATTTTTAAAATAATCATAGTATATTATAGCATCAATGTTTCGAACTTTAAGCAATCTTTCTTCAGGTGACAGTCATAACTTTGATTTTTTAAATGGGAAAGTAGGAGAGTAGGGGCGGGTAAGACTTATTTTAGCTTACTGCATATGTATATATATTTAGGTATTAATGTAAAATCTTTATAAAAAGTTGAAAAATCACATGAAAAACTAGTTCTAATACGATTGGTGTGATGCGCACAAGGGCACTACGGCTGGCGTTACGTTTAGTAGTAGAACCTTCAGGTCAGTAGCAAGTACTTCGGTTGTGTAGTACGGTCTTTTCAACAAAGCACCTCCTTTTATGTAAAAGTAAATGCTACAAACCAGATACTATTTGCTGAAGCAATAGCATCTACTACTTTTTATGCATTCCACCCAATGACGTCGACTTTGCTAAGTATCAAGACAATTACTCTACACACACACTACACTCTACACTTGGTACCTGACTGTAAAAATTCACTGTACCATGCCAATGACCATTAGTTGTCGACGCATTAAACTCAATAAAAAAAAATATTATATGAGTAGTACATTCTCTGAGTCTAATTAGGAGAACAATTTTTTTGTTGTAAATTTGTCTTGCAGTACTTTATTCCCTATTTTAAATATTGACTCTAATGGAGTTATTTCTCTAGCTATTTACACCTCATATTGATCCTATATTGCCGTTAATAATTCAAGTATAATATTTAGCACTTGATAACTGTGTTATGCTACTTTGATAGTTCTAGTTGAAATTTCTTCTTGGCGATACTTCTCCCTCAATATTTGTTAGTATCCTATCTTCTATTCTTTCAAACTCTGCTCGAAGTATTCTTCTTGCCTTTTAATGGCCTTTTTTCATTCAAAAGCATTTCTCCTGTTTTATCTGTAATAGAAACATGCATAGTTTATATACTTTTACTACTTGTTTTTACTTCATGATAGAAGTTTAAGAGGTCCTTTTCAATAATTAACGTCCGTTCATTATTTCGTTTATTTAGAATCTTGTGCTTATTATCAGTAGTTTTGTTCTGTTTCAAGACTAATTGGGTAGCGGGTAGGTACTTTTCCACAATCCCAGTGGAGAATAGACTTACTTCAGGGATGCGATCCTGCCCTACGCGAGCCTTGAATCTCTCTCATCTCCTGTGGAGAGAAATCATGTCCTAACCCCATTCCTACCCAATACCTACTATCCTACCAATTTCCCAAACCAACTCACCAACCCGCCTGACAATAGTGGTGTTGAAATGCCAAAAACCCCTCAGCATGAACAGACATTCAAGAAAACGGCCCTCAGTCCCCGGCAGCTCGCTAGTTCCCGACCAAGGTAGCTGTAGGACTCATGGACAGCGGGTAGAGGGTGCAAAGAATCCCCAAGATGTAAGAGGCTAGCAAGAACGACGAACGTTGCACATAATTACGTATAATGTAAGAACCTTATCTAAGGATGAAAAAATGACAGAACTGGAGGAAGAACTCAAACAGTGTTATTAGAATATGGGATATTATAGGAATTAGCGAAGTCAAAAGAAAGGTGAAGATCAGGTCAAACTAAAATCAGGAAACATATTCCACTATAAAGGGGAAACGGAATCGACAACTGGAGGAATAGGTTTATTAGTACACAAAAAATTACAGAAAAATATACAGAGCATTGACTGCATTTCCCCAAGAGTTATGTATAAATCTAAGACTAAATAAGAGATACAATCTGAAAATAATCCAGGTATACGCCCCCACCAGCGATTACGAAGATGAAATTGTCGAAGCCTTCTATGAGGAAATCGAAAGAGCAAAAAAGCAGGAACCGGCTCATTACAATCTGATAATGGGAGATTTTAACGGAAAACTTGGAAGGAAAAAGGACGAACAAGAAGTGGCAATCGGAGATTTTGGAATCGGAGTAAGAAACGAAAGAGGCGAAATGCTTACCAACTTTCTACTGCAACACAAACTGTATGCAATGAACACCTTTTTTAAGAAGAAACAGAATAGAAAATGGACGTGGGCTAGTCCAGACGGAAGAACTAAGAGCGAATATGATTATATAATAACAGACAAAAAGCAAATTATTCAAGATGTCACTGTACTCAATAAACTATCAGTAGGAAGCGACCACAGACCAGTAAGAGCTAGAGTAACGATAAATCTACAAAAAGAAAGAGCAAAGATGATAAACAGTTGCAAACGCATAGTTTGGAATTCACCAAATCATCCAGAAGCATACATAAAAAATATAGCCGAAACTTTACAGAGTAATAATCCCAAACCTCTAAGTATCGACGATCACAATAAATTAATAACAGACTCGGTTAGAAATGCACAACTCAAATTTTGCAAAAAAAATGACACCAAAAGTGAAAAGATTAGCAAAAATACAAAAGCTCTCATGGAAATACGACGAAACCTAAGCGAGAACGAAAAGGGAAACAAAGAAGAATATAAAAAACTAAATAAAAGAATTTCAGCGGAAATTAGAAAAGATGTAAGAAGATATAATACTAATGTAATTACTCAAACAGTAGAAGAGAACAAAGGTTTAAAGATAATGAAAAGAAAACTCACACAAAGTAAAAAAGAAATATACAAGCTGAGAGATAAAGACGGAAAGGCAACAACAGATAAACAAAACATTCTGAAAATAACCAGAGAGTTTTATAAAGACCTCTATACCAGCCAAAGACCACAAGACAATTTCCCGACACGAGTAAAGACTCTCATAAATCAGGGATCGGAAATACTTTTACCCATTACTGACTCGTTATCGAGGCAATAAAAGCAGGAGAAATTTTATTAAAATCAGTAAGCAAACTGTTTAATAAATGCATACATGCGTGTACGATTCAAAAAAGGCGATATTACTAAATTAGAAAATTATAGACCCATCAGCCTCTTGACACATATGTACAAACTCTTTATGAAAATCTTAACAAAGAGGCTAACACCTAAACTTGATTTCTATCAGCCCAAAGAACAGGCAGGCTTCAGGGCAGGATATGGCACAAATGACCATTTGCATACCATAAAGATCTTAATAGAAAAGTGCATCGAGTACAACATACCACTGGTTCTTGCATTTGTCGATTACGAGAAGGCTTTT